CCAAGTCCCATATTTTCCTACGGACCCTCCGGGACTGTCAAGTCACGGGTCCGGGTCCGTTTTCCCAAAACGTTGACCGAAGTCAAATTAACTCATTCTATAATCAAAACTCATCGTTTTTCACAGATTATCATATTTAAGCTTTCCGGCTACGCGTCCGGACTGCACATGCAAATCGAGGTGACTCTAAATGAAGTTATTCGTTTTCAAGGTTTCAAAACACGAAGTTTCGTTTTAAACAAATGATGGCCTTTTGAGTCATCACAGTTACATAGTCTTTTATTTCAACTGCCACATGTTATGGTCTTAACCGGATTGTCTTCAGGTCTCTCTCTTTCCTGCCTTCTCCTGACCTGTTTGCCAATTGAGCATTAACTTCAGATCTCTTTAAATTTATACATGGCTGTCAAATGAACTTAAATTGGAGATATAATTTTGTATAAAAATGTGTGGTATGGGACAAATTGAGTCCCTGACCATGTCTTATCCCGAATAGACGTGCATTTAGAATTTCAATATTAGTTGGTGTGACTTGGATAAGAGACACGTGTCCCATAACATACCATCACTTCCTCTGCTGTCATTGCTATTTTCTTGACAAAAATACTCTATGTTACTGTTAAAAGTATGAGAAGGAGAAGAGTAAAAACTCCCTTCAATATTAGTATTGTTAGTCACATTCTTGTTAGCTTCTTGACCATGCCAGCTTAAGCCTGATGGATGATCACATTGCAATTGAAACAAGAAATCTAAATTTTTTTGGAAAGAACATTCTGCTCAAAGATTGACATTCTTCATCAAAGAAAGCTCCCACAGACTCCATTTTGTGTTTTTTTTTAAAAAAAAATTGAAAGGCTAGTAAGGAGGGGAGAATGAGAAGTGGTTTACTAAATATAACCACTAAATATTCTCCAAAGTGATACATTGATGCTTCTCTTTCAATGATCGAATACATTGACAAACTTTATAATTCCAGAAGTATAAGCTTGGATTGGAGATCTCATACTTTTACTTGGATTGGGAATAAGCAACAACAAATGACATTAATGCTTAAGAACCCCTGTGAGAGTAGGACCTTGCACCTCTTGTGTACGAGGTCATTGGGTTATACTTTTTATCCGTATTTGCAAAATACCGGCATGATATGAGTTTGTCACTACTAATTAGTTTTTTTTATGTTATATATAGTGTCAGGCCTCCTTTTCTACCCCTCAAAATAATAATAATATGTGTATGAGCCAAAGAGTTTTTCCAATTAAAGTGACAAAATTTGAATAGGGATTATTTTATTGTTCAGAATCGCCACTTAAAATTGATTTTTTCGGTGTTCCAAGTCACCATTTATTTGGATCCCTAGTCAAAGGAAGGTTTGACTCTATTTTAATCGGTCCGCGAAAACAAAGTTCGGGTAAGGAATTCTGTTGACCAGGAGAAGGTATAAGACATTCCCCAGTCTCGTGGTTCTAGCACGGTAGCTTTATTGACTTAAACTTGGCTTGAATTAATTTTGGACAAACTGTGATTTATATTATTTTCATGTTTTACTTATCCTCTTTTATCTCTCTATTATTAGAAAAAATTAAAGAATATTTTTGAATAATAAGATGTCATAATCACACTACGCAAGCGAATGTGTGATCGACGAAATTTACTATTTAGTCATAACGGCGCTACGCAAGCGAATCCGCAGTCATGACAGACGATTGTTAGCACGTTATTTACTTTTGAAAAATTGCTGCAATTGTGTTGGAAGGAAACATTAACCCTCTTTTTTTTTCCAGAAAATTTATTAAATGTCACTGCCACGCTACGCAAGCGAATCCGTAATTATGACAAAAGATTTATAAATTAATTAAAACTATTGAATATGACATGAAATTGATGAATTAACTTATTAAAAGTTAAGTGTCACGCTACACAAGTGAGTCCGTGAAGTTAAAGCGCACCTACTATTTGTCTAATGTTTAAAGGAAAATTAGTTAATTAAAATAGTAGAAACATCAGATATTATTATTATTTTTCGAGCTTTATAGTTGGGAAAAATTATGCAAATAAATGTTGGACCAACTTTATCTATTTTAAAAAAAATGAGCCAACTTCTTGTTTAAAAAAAGAATGGGCCAGCTTGTATGGAGCTTTTGGGCTGCTGGAATTTATTATTAAAATGGGTCAAGAAATGAATTTCAATTGGCCCAATGCTATATAGAAGAAAAGGGGTAATTTTGTTGTTTAAAGGTAAATGAGCCAACTTTTATCTTTGATTCAATAAGGCCCAAAGTTGATACAATCTTAGCTCTTTACTTAGTTTGAGTTCATGACCATTAACTACATAGTCACAATTGTATAAACGCCCACTTTACAAAAATAGCCATTTTTGCAAATCCGGCAAAATGGCCAGATTCACAAAGATATTATCACAGCATTCCTAGAAGCATATGTTGGCAGTGAAATTTCAGCAACTAAAACGAACTCATGCTATGTGTTATACACCTAAAGTCATTCATGGCATACTTAGCATTGTTACTCGGATATAATAGCTTGAAAACATGCTTAAAAAATCCATAAACGACTTACATATCACATTCAAAAACTTACAACTCAATATTCAAGTATTATGAAGGACTATATTCACATTATCACATGCTTGATACATAACAATAACATACAGGCTCTTTTGTTGTCAAACTATTCATCACATCAAACACATTTAAATGGTGCAGCATGCTCAAGTTGTTCCCATTGCTGAAAATACGTACATTACGAGTCTTAAAGGATTACCTGGTAGCAAAAGAATAAACAGTAATTCAGCAACTAAAGCAGCAGCAAAACCAGCAGCAAATCCGTGTTAAAACAACCCAAAAACTTAGAGAGGGAACCCAGAAACGAACTCTAAAGAGGACTTATACTTTTTAAAAAGTTTGCACTCTAAGATTCACTCCCAAAGCTCACCATTTCAGCTTACTTTTTATGTGTTCAACTGCTGAATTTTTTTTGTTTTTGTGACAAAGCAATTATAAAAAAATCTCCCTGGAAGCGTGATGGAGTTCCCTCTATATATCAAAACAACCAGCTATTTCAAAAAATTAAAAATCAATCTTTTTGACAGATTTTTCTACAAAATCTGCTCTTAAATTCAAAAAGCAAGACTTTCTAGTTCAAATCTTGTCAAGTATTTCAAACAAAATCTGCTCTCCACTATTCAAAGATAGACTTTATTCAAATAATGTCCAAAGGTCTACATTTTCTTACCAAACAATTTGACTTTTGAGTGTTGTACTCAAAGAGTTTTGAAGCAGTAAACAAACAACCAAACAAGTACCATATACTCTTAAATATTTTTCATTACCTCACTTTTATCAATACAAAACTATTTTACTACTTCAAAAAGTGCAAAAATAGAATATTTAACATTTCAAACTTCAAAAACTAATGCTAAAATAATTAATAATAGACAAAAATAAAATCTGAAAATTAAAAATAAAAATAAAAAAATCAGCCATGAAAAAGAATAGAATTTTACCATTTTATAATTCAAGTGGCTGAAAAATGGTGGTATGCCAAAAGAGGGTGTTCGGAGAGGTCGCCGGAATTTGGCTGGATTTTGGTCGCCGGATTTTCAGGGTGAAATTGGCATCAATAGCTAGGTCTTGAGGAGCTCTATCCATTGATGTAGGTATTGTGGGGTGGTAGTGGTTGGAGCTTCAATAATTTGGGCAAAAAAGTGACGGGAAAGTTTCCTATATCTAAGATTCAAGGAGTTTGAGGGATTTTTGAAGGATTTGGTTTGGAGATATGGCAAAGAGGAAGTTGTGGAGATTACATGGTGTGAATTTGGAGGTGGTCCACCGACGGCGACGATTTTCGGCCGGTGGCGGTGGTCAGAGCTGGGGCGGCGAAGAGAGAGTGAAGAGAGAGAGAAGAAAGAAGAAGGAGAAAAGAATTATGGGTAAAAATGAAGACAATTTTCAGATTTTTGAGACTTTAAATACCTAAGCCAAGTTTGAATGAGATCCATTGGATCAAGATGGAATGGATGGGTATGATTTGATATTGTTTCATTTAGTGAAACGACGTAGTTTTGAGGCAAAACTACGTAGTTTCAGACTCTTTCAATGGCAGCCCTTTATCTTGCACTCTTGGACACTTTTTCTTTCAAATTTGGCCAAATTTCTTCCTTAATCCTACTTATTAAACTAATTTTACACAAATAAATTTAAATAACTTATTCTAATGATCAATTAACTAGATTAATTCACCAACTGAACAACTAGTTAATTCTTAAAATGAAGAAAGAACTATTTTTTTAGTATTTTATGATAGGAAATATGTAATTAAAGTCACAAAAATTGAGAAAAATAATTAAAATAACAAAACACTAATAACTTTAGGAGGTGTTAAAATAGTGCAAAAGTTATGTGTTCAAATATAGTTCACGTAAAGGCTCCTTTTTCTGTTTGATCTTATTTATTCCTAGTAATACTTAGATAGAAAAAAACAAGATCTTATGTTCTCATCCCATATCTACGTTCACTCACACAAGTCATCTTGATTTTGTAGAAGCCTAAAGAGTACAAAGGTTGATAACTAAAGGAAGGTTGGCACTACCGGTTCATCATCCATTTCGACTTTTATTTTTTAGTTTCTCCTTGTTGCGACAGGTATATCTATATATCTTTTTTTTTTTAAAAAGGCGAAATACATAGGTTACCTCCCGAACTATGGACCAAATCCCTCTTTACACACTATTTGCAAACGAAAATAATTTTACACACTCAACCTTGACAGACTGTACCTAATATACACTACTATGCCTACATGGCCAGTGCGTGGTTTACCAACAAAAATGAGGCGCGTGAAGAAACAAAAAAACTTATCTGACTCTTTATTTGAACGATTCAAATCAAATAAAATTTATCCAACGGTTTAAAATGATTTTTCTTTTTCTTTTCTTTCTTTTATTTCGTTTCTTTTACTTTGTTTTGTTCTTTCTCAACAATCAGAAGACCTCCTTTTTTTTTCCATCGTCCCTAGATCCCTGTTTGTTTTCCTGAAACTCCTCCCTAAAAATTAAGAAGAGTTTATTAATGAATAATGAAGCTTGATGGTCTTTGGAAGTTTAAAGGTGGAGAGGGATTTTCTGGGTTTGTCCAAATTATTTTGAGATTTGTTTTTGAGATATTGAGAATACTGTTGAAATGAAGGAATTAAAAGTAGCGGAAGAGGAGAAAGCCAGAGTAAGCATTTTCATTCCGCGTAAAAATGGTTTGCTTATAATGAGATGTTGATCTAATCCTATAAAAATGGCGGATCTTGATAATCAATTTTGGGAATCACCTGCTCGAAAAGAAAATAACGAAGAAGAAGAAGAAGGTAAGAAAGATAATGGAGAAAATGAGGGGAAAATAGAACTAGCAGATGTAGAGAAATCTGAATGGGAGTCGAAGAGATGGCAGCCATGGTGGTATATTTGATGAAGAAGATGAGTTTAATTATAATTTAAAGTTTTTTCTTTTTTTAATATGTTAATGCCACGTGTCACTATCTCATTGGAGCGTGACATTATACATGTTTTGAAAAACTGGTCAAGAAAAAAGTGGCGTGTATTAGGAACAGTCTGTAAAGATTGAGTGTGTAAAGTTATTTTCGTTTGCAAAAAGTGTGTAACAGAGATTTGGTCCATAATTTGAGGGGTAATCTATGTATTTCGCCTTAAAAAAAATATATGTTTATGAAAAAATATATCTTTATATAAGTCATAGGACTTGCCTCATTCTTCATGTTACCTTGTTTGCCAATAATTAAATGGTTGGGTTTCATTTGTGTAAATTTGAAATTATGGTTTCACTTTGATGCTAGGAGTTAACTATTAATTTTTATTTACATGTTATTCATTTCACTTTAAGTTTGAATGAAATAATGAAATAATACTATGTAATCATTACAGTATTTAGCATAGTACTAAGTGCACTTTTCCCGAATATTATTGTTGTTGCAAATTTAACTAGTCAATTGGACATGTGAGACTTCTCTTGTTGAATTTTGATTCCGATATAAACTAGTAGATATATTTTTGAATGTAATCAATCTAATTTTTGTTGTGAAATTTTATATTTATAGAGTCATTCATAGTTAAAATGTTGAAGGTATTACAATTATTCAAAGTAGGAACCTTTAGAAGAATATCTCAATAATTTTTTCTCTTGATGTAGATGATTTGAACATCGTAGATGGATGTATAATAAAACTCATCCTAATCGTGCGAGATTGAGGTGAGGCAAACCTCTCACAATCACATTCTTGCCCAATTATAGTTAGTCGAAGAATTTGGTAACATTTAAGAAAAATGTGATTGTGAGAGGTCAGGATTTTGATAACATATTAGGATTACTAATTGAAATCGAGAAATAGAGTAGCATTGGTTCAGTGGTGCCTGTTTCCAGCAGCTAGAATATGTAGTGCCACATTCTGAGACATTCTTCATATTCTACTCTTTCCTGTGCAACTTACCTATCTTTTACTAATAATAAAAGAGTGGAACAGTCTTGCCTTGGTGCTAAGAAGTATTTGTACTTCTTCGAGAATTTTGGAATTTTAGTTCTAGTTGAAAATTTGAGCAATATATGTGTAAGTTTTACAACTTCAAATTGTCAAATAAATTAAGAAATGCTCCTGAAGTTATAAGGTATCTACTGATGTGGTATTTATTTGGACATCACTAGAAAATTTACATTTTTTATTGCAGGAAAAGTTAAAAGGGGGACCGGTGTCTGATGTTGAGGTCTTTGCGGAGACACACAAGAAAAAGAAGAAAGACGGTTCAAGAGAAGGATGGGTTGAGACACGTGCATCGGAACAATATGTAAGATCATAACTTTAAGACTATTTTCACTTTGAAATTGATTTATTTATACAATCTTTATTACTTTTATTTCAGGATGGATATCATAGAAGCTTGGATGAATGGTGTCAGATGCAGCCTACTTCTGACGATGGTACCCGAATCCAACCGTCACCCCGATGTTATGACTTCAATATGGACGGATGTAGCAGGCGGTGTATCCAAAGGAAGAGTTTACGGGCTTGGAGTACAACGGTCTTCCTCTTTTCGTTCATCGCCATTAGTTTCGGATGTTCCTACTACGCAAAATCAGGAAGAAATGGGAGCAATGCAAAAGAATATTGAGTTGTTGTCGAAACGATGTGAGACGGTCGAAGCTCACATTGCTAGAATGGATAAATACATGAAAGAACACATGCCCCACTTTTATGATGATGAAGAGACTGATTCTGATGTGTAGTAGTGATTTAAGGTTGATTACTTTTCTTGGATGTTTAAATTTTATATTTAGACTTTATGGTAAATTTGAATGATGTTGTATATATATGTTTAAACTTTATTATATTAGTGTCGATATATATTAGCTACTCAGACTTGATATTGAATATTTAGACGTTAAGTAATGTTTTGCTTTGATATTATGGGATTTGAATGTTTGTTTGTTGATGTTGGAATTGGTTGGTTTGATTATTAGATCGTTTAGTTGGAATTGGTTGTGTAGTTAAAATTGATTTGTTGAGTTGGTTGTTTAGTTGGAATTGGCTTGTTGAATTGGTTGTTTATAATATTTTGCATTTGACAGGTGATGTGCTAATAAAATGACAGTATTCTGTCAAATTTCGATCCAGTTTTTCGACTATTGTAGTCGAAAAGTGTGCCCAGCATAATGATTTTCCGACTACAATAGTCGGAAAATGAGGCCAGAATAATACAGATTCCGACTACTGTAGTCGGAAAATATAATAAAATAACTAATAAATAATTATTATTTGTATAATATCTCCACTACAGTAGTCGAAAATATTTTTTAAAATAAATAATAGTTTTTTCTTATTTTCTGACTACTTTAGTCGGAAAATAGCTGCATTTTCTAATTTTTGGTGGAAAATCCGACTACTGTAGTCGGAAGTTACTACAGTAGTCGGAATATATTTTCCGACCAATCTTTTTCCGACTACTCTACATCAGTCGGAAAGTAGTCGGAATAGGTACTTTTCCGACTACTTTCCGACTATTTTGGTAGTTGGAAAATAGCGAATTTCTGGTAGTTACAAGGAGAGATTATAAAATGCACTTAAACAGTAATGGAGCTAGGATTTTTATTAAGTGCAGTCAAAATATAAAAAAGTTAATACACAATGAGAGGATTTAATATATAATATATATACACAAACAAAAATCTGACTAGCTAAATGGTCCCAATGCAATTAAGTGAATAATAATTAACAATAGTAGGTCTAGATCGAATGGAAATGACAATTTCTAAATGGCATTTTTTTTTACCTTCTGGTTTTGGATCTATTGTTGCAAGTCAATTTAACCGAATTGTTCAACAATCCTAATTGTAATTGTCTCAATTTATTGTTAATGATAATAATCATGTCATGGCCAATTATATATTATCTATGGAATATCAATACATTCACAGTTCACATCACCAGGTGAGACTAATTTTTTACTCTTTTAGTATGTTGGTTTGAGATGTGTTTATCTGTTGAGTAGCTGTGGAGAATTATTCATTTCCTTTTATTTGGTTGCTGGCAGGTCTTTAAGCATTACTTTGAAGAGTTAGAAGAAGAATCTCTGCGGGATAATTTTGTTGTAGTGGTATGAGGAACATTTTATTTCTTTTTGGGATAAAAAGCATGTGACTGGGAAGAAAATCGTAAAGGATTGGTTGTGACTGGAACAATGTTTTATCTTTTGCAGTATGAGTTACTTGATNGAGACTAATTTTTTACTATTTTAGTATGTTGGTTTGAGATGTGTTTATCTGTTGAGTAGCTGTGGAGAATTATTCATTTCCTTTTATTTGGTTGCTGGCAGGTCTTTAAGCATTACTTTGAAGGTTACACAAAAATTCTCAGTGAGTTTATAAAAACTGATGCATATAGAATGGAGGTTACACAAAGGCCTCCAATGGCAGTTACAAATGCTGTGTCCTGGCGTAGTGAAGGGATACAATACAAGAAGAATGAAGTAAGTTTTACATGTTTTATCCAATAGCAGTTTCTTTTAGTGGCTTATATGGAATTTTTTTGTTCTTTCAGGTATTTTTGGATGTTGTGGAGAGCGTTAATATACTTGTTAACAGCAATGGGCAAATAGTGAGGTCAAGTTTTGTACTGGCTACTTCTCGCCATCATGACCAGCAGTGTTCTAGGATCAGATGTATACTGATTTCTGTCTATTCTAGTTTAGCATTTTATGTAATATTGCATACTGAATTGTTCTTGGCGATCTTCAGATTTTAATATTATCCTCATCTGGAATCCTGTCCTTCATCCCTAACCCTGTCTTGCTAGCGAATATAGTGAATCAGGCTGGGCTTTGATGTGGATCCTTTTACTATCAACATTAGGAAGGTGGAAGGACTGATTTTGGAAGAACTTTTTGTATTGTTAATCAAATTAGCTTATATTATTGTTAAAGTTAGCTTCAATCAAAGAAAACTCTAAGCGTTACTATAGATGGAATAGGTGAGAACTTTGGGGTTGGTTTTGAGTTTAGAGCAGC